TGGACCTGATTCAATTCACCCGAAGCTTCTGTATGAGTTGGCGGGGGAACTAAGTGGACCACTGACGATGGTGTTTCAGAAGTCACTTGACAGCTGTACATTACCTTCCGAATGGAAGGAGGCTGTCATCTGTCCTATCTTCAAAAATGGAGACAGGAGTCTGTCAGCCAATTATAGGCCAGTTAGTCTGACTAACGTCGTGGTCAACCTGCTTGAAAAGCTGGTGGGAGATTCGTTGGAATGTCACCTGAATAGATTTAATCTACTCAGTAGTGTGCAACATGGATTCCGGAAGGGGTTTTCGTGTTTGCCGAATTTGTTGGTTGCTCGTGAAGCTTGGGCCGAGGCAGTGAACAATGGCCACGTAGTGGATGTGCTTTTCCTAGACTTCCCGAAAGCATTTGATAAGGTACCCCACTTGAGGCTATCACAAATGCTGAGGTCCTACGGCGTATCTGGCCGCGCCCTTTACTGGGTATCTGCGTTCTTGCAGGGAAGAGAGCAGAGTGTACGTGTGGGTCGCAGCTTATCCTTTAAGCAAGCGGTCCTTAGCGGTGTCCCACAGGGCTCGGTCCTTGGGCCGATGCTTTTCTCCATCTACGTAAACGATCTCCCTGGAGAGCTTGGGGTATCATCCCTATTGTTTGCTGATGACCTTAAGCTATTAAATGTTGTAAATGTTCCTGAGGGTTCTGAGGCCATACAGCATGCACTGGACAGACTCGGACTGATTTACATTGTGGCTACTGCCCATAAATCAGGCTAAGTGTTCCGTCCTTCGTATAGGAGCAACTTTCCCGCCTTCGAGCTACGTACTCGGTGGGGTCGAACTCCCCTTTGTCTCCAACCAGATAGACCTAGGTGTTGTTCGTTCCTCGTCTTTGCATTCTGGTGACAACTGGAAGAAGGCCGCTAGTAGGGGTTTCAGAATGTTGTGGTTAATACGCCGTTCTTTCGGGGTCTTAACTGCCGACATATTTGTGAAGCTGTTCTCAGCTTTCGTCCGGCCCCATCTGGAATACTGCGTCCAGGCTTGCCCGCCGTACCTTGTTCGGGACAAAATGGAGCTTGAGAGGGTTTTGAGAGTAGATACCAAATTGGTCGAGGGGTTATATATATATATATATATATATATATATATATATATATATTATACACAATCTGTGGTACAGATATTGTGCCATCGGAATCATGGCTGAATAGGAAAACAATATGAATAATAAGAAATGAGCAACAAGAAATGCTTTTTTTGTCAAGTTTACCACTCACAGTTTTTGAATTTTTTTCAGTTTGTTCTTTTTTTAGGGCGAGGAAGAAGGGACACCGCAACACACTGATGCACACGTCCGCCATTGACATCGATTTTGAGCCATAATTTCCAAGGTTTTCAACCAGCAAGTATCCTCATCTCTCGGACCCCAACCAGGTAGTCGACAACAACCGGCCGAGGCCAATTGTTTCGTGAACTTTTTCATGCGGCTTCTCCATGTTGTAGGCTGTCCACCAGACCGTCTCTTCCAGCCCTGTCCAGCAAGTGCAAACAACGCACGACGGGGGTAACGCCGGACAGGCATGCGCAATACGTGTCCCAACCACCGAAGTTGATGCAGTGAGATGAGCTCCTCGAGCGAGTGGCTTCCACGTCCCAAGACACGCTGTCTAACTTCCACATTACTTACGTGGTGCTGCCACCACACACGGGCAATGGACCGCAGACAGCGGTGCTCGAAGACGGATAGCCTGCGCAAGTCATCTTTACGAATGGGCCAGGTCTCGCATCCGTACAACAGTACAGCACGAACAGTTGCACAATAGACCCGCCCTTTGATGGAGAGACGAATGTCATGGCGACGCCACAAATGCCTCAGCCTAGAAAAAGCGAGGCGTGCTCTCGAGATGCGCATCGAAATCTCGTCTCCAACAGCCCCGCCAGCAGTGATGCAACTTCCCAAGTAGACAAAGCTCTCCACAACCTCCAGTGTCTCACCAGCAAGCGTGAGTGCAGGCAGAGGCACCTGCCAGTCTTGAAGGAGAGCCTTGCATTTGGATGGCGAAAAGTACATACCGTACTTTGATGCTTCAATCGTCAAGCGGTTTAATGCAAGTTGGACGACCTGTGGATCGTCACCCAGCAAGACGATATCATCAGCATAATCCAAATCAACAACTCGACTACCTGGGAGGAGCTCAACGCCAGCGTTCAACGAATCGCTCAGAGCGTTCTTCAGGACATCCTCAATGGCAAAGTTGAAGAGGAACGGAGAGATAGGGCATCCTTGTCGAACTCCACTGGAGACCACAAAGGTAGGCGAAACCTTGCCATAAGCCCTAACCTTGCCCGAGGTCAGACTGTATAGAGCGCGCAGTATGGAGACGAACTTCTCGGGGACACCGTTCCTCAGAAGGCACTGCCACAGTACTGTACGATCGACAGAATCGAAGGCTGCACGGATATCCAGGAACACAGCAATCGTTGGCTTCTGATACACATGGCGGAGCTCGAGGGTCTGGCGAAGTGTGAAGATTTGATCGATGCAGCCGCGACCAGGGCGAAACCCAGCTTGTTCTTCTCGTTGCAACGATTCGCGTGTTGGGGATAGCCTGCGAAGTATGATGGACACCAGCAGCTTGCAAACGACGGGGACTAAACTTATTCCTCTGTAGTTGGAGCAGATTGTGCGCAGGCCCTTTTTGAAGATGGGTACGACTATCGATTCACCCCAAGATGATGGAACCTTCCCTTTCGACCAAATTTTCGAGAACAAAGCGGTGAGTTCTCGAACCAGCGATGCGCCACCATCTTTAAATAGAGCTGGGTGAAGACCATCAGGGCCGGGAGCTTTATAACGCTTCAGGTGCCGGAGCTCCTGCTCGATTTCCTGGGAAGAGGGAGGGTCTGTTGGGGTAGACCACTCGGCCCCAGCGCGAGCGCCAGAGGTAGCAGATGAAGCTGGGGGCCAACAAAACTGCGAACCAAAATGTTCGGCCCATCGCTCCAACCGTCGTTGAAGATTGGTGATTAAGGTGCCATCCTCTTCGCATATTGTTTCACTTATACCAGATCGAACACCTTCGGTGACTCGAAGGAGATGGAAGAGTTTCCTGGTATTACCACAGAGACTAGCAAGCTCCATCTCCCTAGCACGTTCACACCACCAAGCTTCGCGGTCTATTTGCAGACTCCTGCGCAACTCTCGACCAAGGTGTTGGCGTTCTTCAACGTGTCTGGAATCCGATGGGATCAAGCGGCGTCTGTCCATCAGCGACAAGGAGTCGGCGGAAATCCAATGTTTCGGTGGGTGACGCGTAACTCCACAAGTGTCGATACTGGCGGGAACTAACGCATCTTTGATATGCGCCCACTGCGAATCGAGATCACCGTCAATAGTTGAGCCAAGCAAAGTTGACAGTGAGGTTTGGTTCCTGGTTAAAACCGCAGCGTTTTGTAGATTCGCGACGTCCGGTCGGTAGTGGGTGCGCTTAGGTGATCCTCCGAAACGCATGCAAATCTTAGCACGAACCAATGCGTGATCAGAGTCTAGAAAAGTTGACCAGTACGATTGGCAGTCCGTTACGCTTCCGCGCCATCTGTAGCTGATTGCTATGTGGTCAAGCTGGGAGCACTCTTGCGTTTGTGAGGGCGGGCGCCAGGTAGCAGTCTGTCTCCTCGAGTGTCGAAAACTAGTGCTCGAAAGCAACAAGCGATGATCAGAGCAAAGAGCAAGTAGTCTGTCTCCATTGTCTGATCGACTGCCACCGAGACCAAAACTACCCCCAATGTGGTGCTCGCTTGGTAGAAGGCGGCCAACCCGTGCGTTAAAGTCCTCGGCAAGAATGACTATATCCGTCCGTTTGGAGGAACGCAGAAGTTCATGTAGTTGTTGGTAAAAGCTATCTTTAACTGCATCCGGGCTGCAGTCTGTAGGGGCGTAGGCGGAGACGACAAATAAGGCACGCTTAACATCTCGACGCCTGCTTACGTTACATGAACCTCTTAGTCTGACTGCACATAGTCGGCTGTTGACTGAGATCCAGTCAAGCAGAGCTGATTCAGCCCTGGCACTTAATACAACCCCAACACCAGCTTGACCAGTGGCGGCAGATTCTGGATCTCCGGAAAGCCGCAAGTAGTATTTGGCGTCAGAGTTTACCGGAGAGGCCATTCTGATGACGGCGCTAGAGTCTTGTAATCTGGTCTCTGAAAGACAACAGATGTCTACCGATAGCGTTTCAAGAGTACGGGCCAGACATGCTTGTCGTCCGATCTGCATCAAAGTTCGAACATTAAACGCTGCGAGGATGAATGGAGAACCAGGTCGAAGAAGAGCTGGAGCTTCGGTGGAGTGAGAGGCGGTTGCTATCGCAGGACATTGAAAACCGGGAGTTTGGCTGTTACTTCCATCAGCTGCGAGACGTGGGCCGTTTGTGACGGTGACCGTAGAAGACACAAGAGTACATGTAGGTGAAGGACGGGAGGTGGGGTGGTCTTTGAATGGATATTGAGCGGTTGAGTTAAGACAGAAGAGCGGCATAGCAGTAGTAGTAGTGAGCAGTGTAGTCCATGATTCGTCACGGGGTTACGGGGGCAATCGTACCCCGAGCGTCTACTTAGCTTGAGTATGTATTCAATGCACTACCGACGGCTTCGAGGAGACCTACTCCTTACTTACCGCATTTTAACAGGGAAGGTTGTACCGGGCTTGAGCTGGCTATTTAATCCGGCTAGGTTGCCTTGTCTTCGCGGTCATCCAATGAAGCTACACAAGCCGCGTTCTGACCGGATCAGGGCGGAAACTCGGTTATCGCGTAGAGTTATCGAGCGCTAGAACTCGCTTCCAGAAAGTGTAGTCAGTGAACCTACGGTTAAGGGTTTGGAGCGTCAGTTAGACGCTCTTGGGTGGCAACACGAAACCTTTCCCTTCTCCTGACCGTATCCATCTTCAACTTTTTAGTTTTTATTCTGTCATTCTCTTCACTCTTTGGTGTTATCCCTCATTTTAATGACTTTCATTCCCCTTTATCTTCCATTTACTTTCTACTTCTTTCTTCACGTAACCTACACAGCGCGGACTGTTAGTGCAGGGAACGAGGGCAGTAATTGGTTGATCAGGGTGTGTTTCGGATGTTTCGTTTTAGATCTATCAAGAACTAGCACCTTATCATTTCCTGCCAACGATTTGCTCAAGAAGGAACACTCAAGGGATTTTCCTATCGTTCCAGTCCATCTGAATCTGAAGAGGCCTTGGATTTGTCCCGCGATTTGTTTCGTTGATTAATGAGAAACCGCAATCTTCCATCAATCCAGGAGGTACCTGTCGCGAGGGGCTTTTTTCCTGAGTTTGTCACAGCCTGCTCAGTGAGCAAGTTCATTTTGAAACGTGGAAGATTACAGGCACCATTAAAATCTAGGTCTTGTGGGTTGCTTCAGTCCTGGTTGCCGGACGCCATTTTTAGGCATGACGGATTGTTATGTCAAAAGTTCCGACGACAGACTTTTCGGTCATGAGTCACTAAACATCGCGTCCACGTAAATAAAAGAGTGCAATGATCGCTAAGACTTATTGATTGGAGAGTGGTCAAATCGGCAACGCCAGGTAGTGCCGATGTTAGCGGGATCGTGAGAATCGGCGGTGGCTGACGCGAAATTATGTTGTTGGGCAAAGAGAAGTACTGCATTGTTGCCTACAAAATTGCACCAAGAAGAACAGCATCAAAAGATTTTTGGGAGAGCTTAGACTTAAGGGGCCCCCGGTCTATACCAGGTGTTTTGAAGTCCCCAGAATTAGGCAGGAACTGCCTCTCCCATAAGTTTCGAAGTAGTCCAAATTGCGACCACCGCTACTTGTCGGCGGCTTGTAAACCACCCCGAGTGGTTTGCATCCATCGTGGATCCGACGCCATAGCATTTTTGAACCGCATTCACCGACAGCGTCTATCCATCGCAATGAGGCTGGACCTTACCGTGGTGCGATGGTTTATGTGCCTCAGCGATCCATTGAGCTGTTCTGGGTGGTGCTTTTTTTGCACCTTCAGAGCCACTCATACCCGATTGGTCAATGGTTAGAGGCCAGACATACTCAGCCTCCTGGCCTTCCAGGTTGTGGGTTGGAATGAGGTTGCTCCTTATTCCTTAAAAGCGACTCCTTGTAGCCCAATGCCAAACCCGCTGCCTTGCGCTCAAGATTTTGAAGCAAAGGCTTTGGTTGAGAACCCTAATCGTTCTCCTCTCTAGGCTTGGGCAATCTGACAGTATCCTGCCCACGCAATACAATGAATCTCTCTTCAAACAAATTTCTGATGCTCTGGCCACCTCAGAGGATAATCAACGTTGCCCTATCTGTTGCATCGAGCAGGGTGGATAGGGGTTTGTATGCTACTGCTCAAGCCTTCCCGTCTTCTTATTCCCCCTCTTACGCTTTTTCACCCTTATCGTTCCGTTCCAGTTTCACTTTTATCCCCCTGTTTTCAACCCCCCAATTCTCGGTCCTTCCCACCTTGCTTCAGTAGTTGCTTGTCTTTTAGTTTCAACTCATGTGAACCCGGAGCGTCATTCCTGCCCTGTCAACAGGCCCGTGTCCAAATAAGTGGTCCATTCCAGTTCATCGGTTTCCATTTGGAGCCATCGATCCTCCTTCAGATTGACGTGCCTCAATGTACACAAATTGCTAAAGATCGGCCAACAGGCAGCACTTGCCCGGACATTGGAGACCCTCTCGATCGATATCTGATGCTTATCGGAGACCCGTTTGCAAGACTCGAGCTTTGTGCTCACTCTGCGATCCCCTTTAGGTGACAGTATCAGCACTTTCTCATTGCGTCTATCCGATGACGATGCAGCTTGGAGCGCCGGCCAAGCCGGTGTTGATATTGCCCTGAGTCCCCGGGCTGAAGCTACTCTGGTTGATTGGATTCCAATCAATTTCCAGATTGTGCGGTCAGATTGGCTGGCTCTTTCAAAGCTTCGAAGTCGCGCGTGACTAACAGGTGTCTATTCGTTATATCTGCCTATGCACCGACAAACGCTAGCGATGACTTAGTAAAAGTCGACGCCAATTGAACGAGCTCCTTAGTCACAGACGAAGTTTGGACACTAATGCCGGCTGGGAATCTAAACGCTCAAGTTGGAGAATTATCCACTGATGAGCTGCATCTGGGCGGCCAACATGATGTAGGCTCCCGTAATGATGACATTGAGCGGTTACTTCATTTGTGTGAGGATGCCCGCTTATTACTTGCGAGCACTAATTTCCGACACAGCATCCATCGGAGGGTGACTTGGCGCCCACCAGCCTCGAACCAGCTATGGAAGCAATTCAATCACATTACCGATGAAGAGGCTGCGTCCAGAACTGTCGCTCGATTTGAAGCACGTGTGGACACCGACCATGCACTTGTATGTGCAAACGTGCGGATGCGTTTTGACGGGCGCCCAAGACGACGTTGTGAGCGCATTGACACCAGCCAGCTGGCGAAATCATCTGTTCTGAATGCCTATCAAAGTACGCTGTCGTGCGCGTTGAGTAAGCGCTCACTGGATGCAGTTGAAACTCACTGGTCTCATATTCACCAGTCCTTACTAGCAGCAAGAAAATCATCATGTGGTAAGTCTAATCGCCAACATGGACATTGGGTCTCTTTGCAATCTCTGGAACTTATCGATTCTCGCCGGCATATTCCGGCTGGAAGCGAACACAATGAAACTCGCAAAGAGCTCCGTGCAAAACTCCGTGCTAGCCTGAAGAGAGACCGCGAATTCTCGTGGTCTCATCGTGCATCAGAGATGGAAATGGCCGCTGCCCTTGGTAACCATCGTAAGTTATTCCGGCTGATACGGGAAACGGGCAGCAGAAGACATGGTGTTAGTAAAACTATACGTGATGAGAATGGACAGCTTATCCACAACATGTCAAAACGCTTGGAGCGTTGGGCTGAGTACTTTGAAAGACAATTTAATCTGTCAGGATTGTTAGATCTATCGCCGGTCACTGATCGCCCCGCTCCCTGGGCTGTCCTTTTGGATCCACCCTCTCGCTCAGAAGTCGAACGTGAGATCGAACTGTTGAAGTTAAAGTAAGCCGCGGGACCAGATGATCTACCTCCAGTGCTCTTCAAATTCGGTGGACCTGCTTTTGTGGATGATTTACACGAGTTACTAGTGATACTTTGGGAGCAGGAAACTGTCCCAACCGACCGGAGCCGCTCCGTCATAGTCCCAATCTTCAAGGGTGGCTCACGATTGGAATGCGGCAGCCATAGAGGAATCATTCTGATTTCCATCGCCTCCAAATTGCTTGCCTCTGTCATCCTTCACCGACTGACTGCCATTTGTGAAAGCCATATTCGTGAAGAGCAAGCCGGGTTTCGTTGAGGTTGTGGCTGCATTGACCACATCTTCACTTTGCGTCACTTGTTGGAGCACCGTCACACATATTGGCGGCCAACCGTTGTCGTGTTCCTCGATATCAAAGGTGCGTTCGATTCGGTAGATAGACGTGCACTTTGGGGCTGGTTACTCAGGAAAGGTGTACCTGAGAAATATGTAAATTTTATCCGAGCATTATACGCGCATAGCTCAGGCAGAGTGAGGACTTACGGCAAGCTATCTTCGCCCTTTAATATCTCCAGCGGTGTGAGACAAGGATGCCCGTTGTCACCTTTTCTCTTCAACTTCGCTATTGACGAAGTTATGGAAATCGCGTTCACAGGACACGACTTAGGTGTGGAGCTACTCCCAGGAGAACGACTTCTTGACTTGGAGTATGCTGACGATATTGCCCTAATCTGTGACAGCTCACCGACGTGCCAAGCGGCACTGGACAGATTAGCACTGGCTGTCAGTCGCTTCGGGCTTTGCTTTGCACCATCGAGGTGCAAAGCGTTCCTCCAAGATTGGCAGGGATCGCCCCCTGTGCTGACCGTTGGTGGGGATCAGCTAAACTTCGTCCAAAAATTCAACTACCTGGGAAGTTGAATCAGCGCCCGTGGGATTAAATATGAGATCACGAATCGTATAGCAAAAGCTCGGTTCGCTTTTGCTAACCTTCGCCACTTATGGCGCCCCCGCTACATCACTCTTGCCCTGAAGAGTAGAGTGTACAATGCATCAGTACGTTCGACCCTACTGTACGGTTGTGAAACCTGGCCGCTTAAAGCAGCGGACCTGAAGAGGCTAGTTCGACCACCGGTGCCTTCGTAATTTAGCTCACATCTGGTGGGAAGACCACGTGAGCAGCGAGCGTGTTCGACGCCTTGTTTATGGCACAGGAAAAGGAACTGAACCACTCAGCACCGTTAGTTCACGCACCGTTATTTCACGCACCAGGCTCCGATGGTTCGGCCACATGTTGCGCATGCCAGTTCACTGACTCCCGCGACGTGCATTGTTTGCTCACCGGGTGTGTGGATGGAAGAAGAGGCGAGGTGGCCAAGCGATGACTTGGTCGAGAGTAATGAAGGCCCTCACTTCCGAGGTGGCCTCGGTTGGAGCGTCACGGCTCCGTGCTTGTGGTCTGAAAGACGGTGAACATTTTTGACTGGATACATTTGTTGATATGGCTAGGAGCCCACCTCTCTAGCGTTCGTGCTGAGTTTCTTTGTCCCACCCCATCCCTCTTAGCCTCCCCCTCCAACCACGATCTCATTATTTAACATTTTACAACTTTGCATGGGAAATTACTTTTTTGCTGCATAGTAGCCGGCTGGTAGCTTACCGGAACGATGCCCGTCCGTTACCGGTAGCTCAGCTGGCTTGCACCTGTTGCATTTATTTTCTTATTTCTTTTAGGTATTGCGGCACAGCAGCTGAAGTGTTTCCCATCTCTAACTAACGTGTATAGTGTGTGTGTGTGTGTGTGTGTGTGTGTGGTAGCGTCTATAGTGTTTGCTTTGAGGCCTGATCTTCAGTAAAGGATTATGTCGCACTTGGTCTTCGTCTCATGGCGATCAATCTGCGAAAATTGATATCCTGGGATATAGTTCTCGCCATCAGGTGTTCAACTTTAAGTCGGACCGGAACAGTAGGAAAGTCTTGCGAATATTCCACCTTCGAAAACGTCGTTGATCCAACAGGGAAACCGGTGCATTGATGGGCCAAAGGAGAACCAAATCAACACACACGATTCACAAGTTCAACCAAACAATGCCCCCGTGCCCTGCACCACAGTCGCCGCCGTGCCGACCACGTGCAGAATAAAAGAAAACAGCAGTGTCAGTAAAGGAAAGGAAACAGAGAAGACAAGC